TTTTTTTTTTTTTTTATCCTTTTTTTTTTTTTTTTATGAAGGTTCTGTCTCCGAGTGTGTGATAATGGCCCATTATTCATGTCCTCTTAATAGAGGGAAAATGGTGTCCTTAGTAGCTTTGTTTTGGAGGGGGTGAGCCTCTATGGTGTTGGTAGTGTTGTGTGTAGTAGTCGTGTGAGGGGAGTGTCTCAGGGCGGGAGAGCGTCTCGAGCGGTGTACTCGCGGTCGCGGAGGGGCCGCTTCGGCTTGCTTGGCGGGCTTGTAGTCCTTGGGTGTGTTGTAGAGTTACAGGTCTAGTTACTGTTCCGAAAGGTAGGCCAGCTGGGAGCGTTCGTTCTGGCTGGGGTTAGAGGAGGAAGATTAGAAAAAGGGGGTGGGACTTACCGAGAGGCCGGTCCCGAGACGGAGGTACTCGTGGATTGGTGGGCCGTGCAGGCTTTTCGAGGTTGGGGAACGGCCCGTAGTCGGTCTTGCTGACCAGGGTTGTGCCGTCCTCGATGTTTTTCTGACTTGTCAGCGTGTGCAACAAACATTAAACAAAGCAAACAACTCACCAGTAAGCGGGTGCTGTTCAATCTCGCAGTCGATCTTCCCGCCGTAGCACCTGATCGCCCGCCGCTCCTCCACCAGCGTCATCATCAGTGTGCAGCTCCTGCGCAGGCTGCTGTCGTGGTTGATCATGTCGAGGATGCTGGTGTAACTGCCTGCCGAGAAGGCATCCCAAATGCGCACCGGAGCCTTGTCGGTCAGGTTGTTCTTATAGAAAGCGCGCAGCGGCTCCATCAACGGGCGGCCGCCCTGGAACAAGCCGGGGGACATGGTGGATATCCTGTCGAAAAAGAGCGGGCTGAGCGAGTCCTGGATGGTCCGCTTCACGTCGAGCGGCGTCCAGAGACGGTAGGCGTAGGAGGCACATCCGAGCAACAGATACAGCTGGACAAGCAGTAGCCGCAGCTCGGTGTCCCCGGGAGTCTCGTTCAACTGGGTGTCGAGCAGAAGCACCGCCTGCAGGAAGAGACCAGGCTCGATGGACTGCCACAGCGACTGGCTGGCATCGGCAGTTCGAGGCCGTAGACCCGACAGCTTCAAGAGTGAGTTACCCATAACAAGAGCCAAGTCTAGTCGCGGGTCCTTGTCCAAGCGAGGAATCGAGTCCACGAGCTCCTTGTCACTGGTTATCTGCCTGTATGCGCCCGCGGCATCAACGACGAGCTTTTTGAGGCAGGACTCGCACGGGAGGTCGGTCGGTTGCGTGCAGAACCGGCACTGGAAGGGTTTGCTTTGCGCTTCGCCCTCGGCAGCGGCGGGTTGCGGGGAGAGGGTCTGTGGGCAGGTAGTGAGGAGGTATCTTAACCGGCACACCAGGGCATTCAGCACCGTTTTCCGCCCCTTGTCGGCATCCTGCCATCTTGTCAGTCACGCATACGATTAGAAGTGAAACGAGAGCCTCCTACCTCATCGAGCATTTTCGGTAGCGCATCTTCCATGAGAGCCTTGATCTCCTCGAAATTTAGCTCCGCCACGTAGCCCTTGACATCGTCAAACGCGGAGAGGCGCTCGAAGTATTGGTCCAAAAATAGGCCGATCTGGACAACCCTCGGCGACAAGCCGTTATTTTCGTTGCTATCGTTGAGTGCGGTGGCGGGTAGCCGGAAAGTGGTTTCCAGTAAAGCCAGGCTGAGATTCTTCTTGTACATGGCGCTCGCTGTGTCCTTAATGTCGATATACCTCTTCAAAATGGCTTGTACCTCGCCAAGCGCGCTGTGTATGTTGGTAAGCTGCACTACCATCCGGACACCACCATTGCTTACCTCTCCGAGTCTGCCACCTTGCTGGCGGCCGACACAAACTTCCTCCAGGTCTGCAAGTCGCAAACAAAGAAGGGCGAGGTGCCTCCGTCCAACCCGAGCGTCAAAGCCTCGCGACATAAGTTGTAGATGAGATCCCATTCACCCCAGGTCTCGAGCGCATCAAGGCCTTCGCAGAAAAGGACCTTGCGGCCTTCCTTGAGCTGGCTGATGGCCCCGAGCTTGGGGCTCTTCAGGCGGGAAACGTATTCCTCCTTGGTCCCATGGTTATGCATAACCCGGTAGTAGAGGCAGACCTCTTCTTCGGTAAGGAGGCCCCGGTCTATAGCCTCCAGCTTTGCGGACTACAATACCATGTCAGACACGTAAAACCCGACAACTCGGTGGTCAACGTACATTTTCTGTCAAGTCTGCTGCCCTCTCCAAATGCCTAACCGCCAAAAGGCTGTAGACCTTGCGGCTCGCATCGGTACACTGGGGGCTGATCTGTCCGTGTCAGTCCTAGAAGTGCAGCACGTAATGGGGGGAGGGACACACTGAAAGGAGGTAGGTGAGTGTGATGTTCCAGAACATGTACCG